GTATTTGTTATGTATATTGTATGCGATATATTGTATATAATATATCGCACATAATTTATAATATATAATTTTTAGATTATATTTAATATAATGAATAAATATATGTGTGCATATATATATATTATATATATATAATATTATATATATATTACATATCTACATAATATATATATATATGTATATATACCTATATATATTGTATATATATTATTATTAGTCAGATTCACCTGTTATATATTTTATCATATTAAATATTTAAAATGTTTTTTGTTTGTTTTCTTCAGAGACAAAAAAACAAATGCTGCTGCTGCTCCTGCTGCTGCTGCTGCTCCTGCTGCACCACAGCCCTCGTGGGTTTACTCTTCTATTTTTATGTTTTGTTTGTTTTATTTATTATTATTATTTTATTATTATTTTAATAGTATTTTATACTTTTATTATTGCTTTATCATTCTTTTTTTCTTTTATTATTTTTGCTGCTTCTCCGTTTTTTGTTGTTTGTTTTTCTATATTTTGTGTGCTTCCTTTTATTTTATTTTATTTATTTTGTTTATTTATTTATTTTATTTTATTCGTTTTCTCTTCAGATCGACAGATGCATGTCTATTAACAGAGGCAGAGGACTTCGCTGCATTTAACTCACAGCCAGCAGCAGCAGCAGCAACGCCGCAGCTGAGCTTAACAGATCAGAGAGTACAGGCGGCAAAGGCTGCTATCGCTCGTTTGTATGCTGCTTCAAATAACTCAGGTATATGTTTGTTATATTTATTTTATTTATTTTTATTTCTTTATTTCTTTATTTTATTGTCTTTTGTCTTGTCTTGTGTCTCTACTCTTCGTTTATAGATGCTTATTGCCTCTCTTTTAAATGATATTGTTTGTTTGCTGCTATCTTCTTTTTATTTTTTATTTCTTTGTTTACAGCCCGCTGTTGTTCTTCATTTGTTTTACTTCTTTCTTTGTTTATTATTTAATATATTATATGTATATATATAAACATATATAATATATATTTATATAAATATATAATGTATATATATACTTTATATATATATATCTGTCTTGGCTGATGCATTTATCTTCATTTGTTTTTTTCTGTATATCTCGCTGTCTTTCTTTGTGTATTATTCTGTATATTTTTGCTTCCTGTCTTTGTTTTGATTAAATTATTTTAATAAATATATTTTTAATTTATGTTTTTCTTTTTTTAGGGTTTGGAGAGCAAACAAAGACATCTGTGCAGCCGCAGGGTTTAGGGGGCCTGAGCTTCTTTAACACCCCGCAGCAGCAGCAGCAGCAGCAGCTGCAGCAGCAGCAGCAGCTGCTGCAGGGTGCAGCAGGAGCAGCAAACTGGGCAGCTTGGGGTTCAGGAAGTAGCCCTGCTGCAGCACCAGCAGCAGCAGCAGCACCAGCAGCAGCAGCAGCAGCAACTCCTACTTGGCCTTCAGCCTTCGGTGCATCTTCAGCTGTCTCCTCTTCGCTCGGCTTTAATTCATTATCTTCTGCATTTAGTTGCCCTGCTGCTGCTCCTGTTGCAGCAGCGCAGCAGTTGCCTACAACTGCAACAGCAGCACCAGCAGCAGCAGCAGCAGCAGCAGCAGCAGATCCGTGGGGTGCTTGCGGCACACGACTGAGTGGTCAGGGGATGAGCAGCCCCGCACAGATCAATATCCCTGATAGTAACAGACAGGTATAGTCTTTGCTGCTGCTGCTGATGCTGCTGTTGATATTGCTGCTGCTGATATTGCTGCTGCTGATGCTGGCGTTGGTGCTGTTGCTGGTGTTGCTGTTGTTGCTGCTGCTGTTGCTGCTTCCTTTGCTGCTGCTTTTTCTGGTGTTGTTGCTGCTGTTGTTGTTGCTGCTGTTGTTGCTGTTGCTGCTGACGATGACGACGGCTTGAAGCGAATGGAGCTGCGGTGGTGTTACATTTGCTGCTGCTGCTGCTGCTGCATTTTCTGCTGCTTTTTATTCCCCGCTGCTTTATTTAGTGCTGCTGCTGCTGCTGCATTCCCTGCTGCTTCATTTGCTGCTGCTTCAT